GTATAGCTACTTCCTTAGCATAAAAAAATTTATGACTCTGAGCTTTTAGAGGTGGTTCATCAAGCGAGTCAGTATTAGATATTTTAAATACCTTTCCCATGGATATTATTGTGCTACTATTTGTTGGGTAGCACTGGAGCTCGCCAATATTGTTAAAAGCTGACCGAACATTAAAAACTGTTAAGTATGGATTAGCAGCACAACCTGTAAGAAAAGTTGAAAAAAAAAAATACAAAAAGTGAAACAAATTTAACAACTTTTGTTAATATATGGTATTTTCCCGTCTGTGTATGAAGACTAATCTACAGGAGGTCATATGGAAATACTATTGTTATAATGGGGTCTATGTCCGTTTCCATCTGGCCCGTTGCCACCCAGCCCGTTGCTACCCTGTTCATTGCCACCCTATGCCCATTGTCACCCGGCCAGTTGCCACCCAGCCCTTCGCCACTCGGCCTTTTGTCACCAAGGCTGGTTGCCACCCGGACTTTTGCCAACCGGCCCGTTTCCACCCTAGGCCCGTTGCAACCGGCCTTTTGCAACCCGGTTTTTGCTATCTGGCCTGTGTCCACCGTAGGCCCGTTGCCACCCGTAACGATACAGTATAGCATTTTATTCTCGAAAATTTCCCTCTCGGACTGTCTTGTTGGAAAACACACACATGCGATGGATTGTCTTGCTGTATTCCCTATTACGGTATTTGATTTGCTGCCGAGGGATTCGAGGTAGAATAACCTTAAACGTGAATTGTACAGCACGGAACAATGAACAGAAATTACTGCAGGATTGTTGAAATAAGTGACATTTAACCTTTAATTTGTTATTTGCTCTTATTATAATTATGATATGAAGATGCATGAGATACCAATTGATTCCCTGAATGAGATAGTTTATATGATATATAGAGATTTCTATAACTTATTGTTATAAATTATGAATGAAACAATTTGCATGAGATACCGATTGATTCCATGATATTATATTATATATGTTATATACCATGAATAAGCTGCTCGCTAAGTTTTTTCATGTGATCCTCTGGTACACACTCTGCTCCTCTCATCTCATCAATGAACCCCATTGGTTGCGAGTTAATAATAGAATTTTCAAAATCTTTCTCCAAACTATTTATGTGGTTTTCTTGTCCAACGTATCTCTTCACGTACAACACGTTTCTCATCGTCTGTACATTTCATTATACCACGTTACAACAAAAGAATTGGTTTTCAATCCCTTGTTATGCTTCTATACTTTAATAAATAATCTTCCAACTGACATTAGGGTATTTCAGATCCTAATATTTTTTCCTGGCGGTCCTGTGACAAACGGTGATCAAATCGACAATTTGATGATCTATTTTGTTAGTTTTTCAAACCGGTATGTTTCGAATTCCAGATGTTTATTGAATACCTCTGTTTAGCATAGTGGTTTTCGGGCATTTAATTCAACAAAAATTCAAGTTGATGGTTTTGATATAGGACCCTGAAATAGTCTTCCAGCAGCCATCCGTTAGTATCCAGCGCATAGACCATGAAGGCTAGTTTGCGCTTTAGTATGCCTCCCATTAACCAGGTGATTTGAATATGTTTATTTTCTTTTATCATTACTTGATCAGTTTATGTTCGAATAACCATTTTATATAATGAGTTTAGTTTGTTTCTCATTTCAATTAAATTTATTAAATTATGCGATTAATTAATTAATTAATTAATTAATTAATATAGGTTGAATTTCAGAATCATTCATATTATTGGCGCTGTAATTTATATGATTATGCAGGCATTGGAATGGACTTACAATGTTTGTTAATGATTAATTAATTTTTGATGAACTCTACTGCCTCCTAGAAAAGGCGAAAACCTAAAAAAGTAAGTATAACTTTGAAATGCTTAGTCCAAAAAAATATTCATGTTATTAAATAAAAGTCACAGATTAAAGAAAACAGTTTTCAATAATGTACAGATATTTTAGCAAAAAAAAAAAAACACCAACATTTGTGTTTATTTACTGCCAGAAATAAAATGTACACATAATGATTATAAAGACATTTAATTGGCTAGGATTATTTTTCAGACGAGAGCTAACAGATTATTTAGGTATACACATGAAGTATTTTTCTAAATTTTAATATTATTTTGTTAGGCTGAATTTGAGATGAATAAATAAATAAGCGTTGGAAAAACGTCATGAATAAAAGAATGCCATCTTAATTTACTTTTTATATTAAACTTCTGGTTACTCCTGGATCCGGCTTGGTACTGAGGTCACGAGGTGACTGCAAATATTTGCGTAGTGTTCCAAGGACGAACTGAGAGCATAATTCAACTATTGTTGTTTGGATATAGGTAAATAAGTTAGACATTTAAATGTTCTTAACATTCTTGACAATTGCTTTCACGCACTGAGTCCCTAGATAAGGTGCTTGCTTCTAGAACCGCACAGGTGAGGGGACCCGCCAGCTGATGAGCCCTGAGGACTAGGCTCACTCTCGGTGATTTGGTACTCTACCAAAGTCATTTGGTAAAGAAGAAAGTTCACGTTTGGCAAGATTTGAAGCCAGAGCACAATTGCGTTACCCCCAAGTTATAGTTTGATCCAGGCTCACAAAAAGAGCATGACATTTAGATATGTGAAATGTGAAAGTTGGTCATAAGGCGCGCCTATTTGGCCTATACCAGGTCCATAACAAGGAAATTGGCTTTTTATAACATATATGATAGTAAATACCAATCACCAGCATGTCACACTAAGCAAACTATAAATATAATGTAAACAATAAGAGATACGTTACCTATTTCAAATCCAATTAAAATAATTTGAAATTGAACAAGGCAATATAAGACAAAATTTAACATGTTGGTTGGCAGTCCTCCGTTAATACGCCTACTGTTTGAGTAACAGTAATAGGAAGGAAGTTCGGAATCAGAGGAGTGTAATAATGTCAATAAAGTTCATATAGCTTAAATATTATTGGAAGCCGAAGTCAGGGCCATCGGAACGACACCGGATGGCTTAACCAATTTTTCTCCAACTATTATTACTTTTGAAAATACATTGTTTTATATTACAAATAAAATAACAATATAAAATGCGTGATTGAAGTCCGCCAAACTGTCATTGCCACACAAAGATGTACTTGTGAAGCCGGCCCTGTGTACTTGGATGATACGGCAAGCAAAATTCACATCCATAAATAGATGGACATTCATTTTTGTAAAAAGAATGTGCTATTACTTTAGAATTTTTCAAAATTTGCGCAGTCAATGGGCTGAGACGGGTATGTCCTATAATTAATTATGTATTTACCCCTGAAGGAGGAGTAAGAAAACGCTACGTTTTCGGTCATCCAGACAAAACTCTAAATCCGTTTCTTGAGAAAAAAAAAAATAATAATAATAATAATCTCGGCTTGTCAGAGAATATCCGGTGACATAACATTTTAGTTTTCCTAGCATTCGATTTCATAGAAACATTGTGTATTAACATTAAGCAATACAGATACTAAAATTCATTGTTAAAAGAATAAAGATAAAGTTTTGAAATAGGGTGCAGTACAAATGCTATTGATGTAACGAAAGAAAGTGAATAGAACAAACACAATGAGACGGAAATCGGCGGCACGATTCTACAAGTTTGTTTTTGTTCCGTCAATTCTCTGTGTTTCGCCAATAGCCGCTGTCTGTAATCACACGCTCAGTAGGCTATTTGAGCCGGTGGAAATATAAATTGTCATTTTAAGAACGGTCTGATTTATAACTTTGTAAGCATGTTTTGATCATACGAGTTTTTAACAGAGAAGAAATATATCCAACTGCAGGGTGGTTCGACAGCTGCGTGGCACCCGTAAATCCGGAAAGTCCACATTGAGACAATTACGAATATTAAAGAGAGGAAAATGTGTTAATGTGAATAAAGGTGCCCAACTTATTTTTGATGATTTTCTTTGTAATAAAGATAGAACATTTACAAATATGTGTATATTATTATACTTATAGCTTAGCAGCATATATCTGTTTTATCTGTTTTAATTTTTAACAATATTATGACGTTTCCGTGATTTGTAAGTTAATTACAGTATTATTTATCAATTTTATGAAATTTTCGTGATTTGTATGTTAAATTAGACCAAATAAATAATTTCAAAAAACATTATTCATTCTGATCGTAATAATGAAATGAAGAAAAACTTTTTGTACTGAATATTCTTTTATTTACCACCAAAAAATAATAATATTGATATTATAATAAATAATAATAGTATTATACTTATAGCTTAGCAGCATATATCTGTTTTATCTGTTTTAATTTTTAACAATATTATGACGTTTCCGTGATTTGTAAGTTAATTACAGTATTATTTTTCAATATTATGAAATTTTCGTGATGTGTATGTTAGATTAGACCAAATAATTAATTTCAAAAACATTATTCATTCTGATCGTAATAATGAAATGAAGAAAAACTTTTTGTACTGAATATTCTTTTATTTACCACCAAAAAATAATAATATTGAGCCCATTAAACATGATTTCAATCATAATGAAAGTGCTTTAATGAAAATTAAATTGTGCATGGCTCATTCAGCAAAAAGTAAACATCTTCAGTGTGCTAGTTAAACAAAGCAGCTAGGTTACGGTAATTTATATGGGCGACAAATATTTGTCTGTAGAGGAACCGGGGTATAGGAAAGACGGTCACAGATGGGGGATGGGAGGGTATATAACAGCCTCACCATGGGTGGGGCTGAAGTAAGAAAATACATGAATATATTATTACTAGACGGCCAGAAACGGCACTTTAATCTTAAAGTTCAATATAACTTTATTTTTTATTAATTTTTATAAATTTTGGGTGATGTCAAGTCAGCTTGCAGAGAGAGAGCTGTCTCTTATACACATCTAAGGTGACCCCCAATTTTTATTACATATTCTGGAAGCACATAAGTTGTAAATATGATTTTATAGATCATAATGGCGCCATAATTAAATTACTATTATTATGGTAATAATAATATTAATAATAAAAATAATAATAATGACATTTATTGTTATTTTATTTTATTTTTATATTTGCATCCAACAGCTGGGAGCCCGTAACTTACAGAATGGAAACAAAAAACAGTCAAGATAAGGAAAACGACAAATACAAAACAATCAAATGCTTTTAACATTATTAATGTCAAAATATTTAAAGGCACCACGATGGCGTGCATTTCAATACTTGGAGTATGTATTATAATTTCTTTACAAGATACATCATTTAACTTTACGTTTCAAATTTTGAAATCAAAAGAACCAAAATAACTATAAATAGGCAGATCTTAACGATAAAATAATTATATAACTTCAGTTAACATAACGATGAAACTATATTTTGAAGCATCTACTTCATTCTAATTATTATCATTTTAAATATTTTTATTACTAAAATGTTTATACAAACCAGTTATATATTGTTGTCCTAGGACTTACCAAATCTAGGAAGAGAGGAACCCATGACATGATCTACTTCTCGGTGTTGTCCATTAGTATACATTTTAAAATACACTGCAAAAGGTAGACATTCAGGTAGGCCCTTCTTTTAAACACGTATCGGACATGACAGATAGTGACTATTTTATGTTGGTATATTGAGGAATATCATTAATAACTTCGTCAGATTTCTGTCCCATACTTTTCAAAGGGATTTCATAAGGCTCCTTTTTGTTTTTGGTAACTCCAATTTTTTCTTCTGCATGAGTTACCGCATGTCCACTGGTCTGTTGAATTGTACAATCATACGTGTCTTGAGTCTTTGTTCGGATGACCTCATATTGATCCTCATGCTGTATGGCGATGGTGGTATAGTTATTCGGTTGTTCAGTTGCTTCTTCAACTACTCGGGTTTTTGTTGCCAGATTATCATCCTGGACTTCACATTTATGTGTATTGTTCCCATTTGAGTGGTTGCATCTGGAATAGTTTATCAGTTGTATTAGATGTATTTCTTTCAAATTATTTTTTTTAAAAGATTAATTGGTTGGTTGGTTGGTTGTCGGTCGATCATCGGTCGGTCGGTAGGCGATGCATAGATGAATAAAGGAATGAATAAGAAATGACAGGCGGAATGACGGACGGACGAACAAATAAATGGATGAACGAATGAATGTGAGTGAATATACAAAAGAACAAACGAATAAAATACCCAAAAAATATTAAATAAGTGGAATGAATGTTAAATGAAATAGATATTCAAGCAAGTTCATATACACATAATATTAAAATTGGCAACCATATTATAAATATCAACAACTCCAGACAAACAGACAATGTAACCTTTCTACATTGTGAGGAACTCTATAGTACTTAAATCTCTTCCCGACTCTCTCATGGACATTCATAACTTTTTCTTTGACCAGGATTTCTAAATTCTACATTTTACTGACCTTATATATTTGTTAATTAGTGTATCTACATTGTTTAACTGTAACATAATACTTACTGTTGCTTATTAATATACCGTTAAGTTATATGAACTACCTGTTTTTTTTTGTTGTTTTTTTTATTTATTTTTTGTTGTTTTTTTTCTTTATAAATAAGTGATCTTTAAAATAATTTCGGTAATTTTCCCGTTACATAAAATTGTATATCAGTTATTACATATTAAGAGCAAGTTTGAATTTTTGAATTATGATAGGCTATTTATGCTATTTATTGTATTGTATTTAAATGTTTTTTTATGTTTATATTTATTTATGGCTGAATCTCAATGAGTTATAGTAAAATTTTGCTTAAGCTGCCCCTGACCAGAATTTTTGTTGTATGGTACCTCTTGTAAATGTGTATTGGTCTAATAAATAAATGAAATGAAATTTGAAATTAAAAGTACATTATTCCATTTATTAGCTTATCATGAAGCATTACTGTCCTAACATTTGTACATTAAACATTGGAAAAGAAGGAAACATAAATAAATTAATAAATATTAAAATTATACAGAAAAAGCCCACAAAATCAAACAATTACCCACAATCGACCAAAAATAAATCGAACAAATAGATAAATAAAAAAATGTATAGGAAAATGGAGAAAAATCATGTTAAACGGCTAGATTTATAGATAAGCGTTTCCTCTGAATAATAAATACCTAATTTTTACAATAATTAAAACAATACCTGTAGCATAGGCAAAACACCAAGGAATTCAGGAAGATGATGATGGAAAGAACAACCACTAATGCAATCATAAATATGGGAATTGATGCTCCTATAAAATATAATATGTTATTAATAATGCTAATAATAATGCTAATAATAATAATAATAATAATAATAATAATAATAATAAATAGTATTTTGCATTTTAAAGATTAAAAAAAATATGAATAATGATAATGGAAATAACAATGACATGAGCAACAACAATAATAATAATAATAATAATAATAATAATAATAATAATAATAATAATAAAAATGTTAATATTAATACAAAATAATTGTTAAGTCAATGTGACATCATCATTATAAACTTCTGTATATACATTTTTTTATCCCCAGCGGTCACTTAGGTGCTATAGAAACCAGTATATTTTGCGGCTCGAGTAAAAAGTTAAAAGAAATTAGTTTATTTCAATATTTTCATAATATTGACAACGCAGAGTGTATTTCGTTGCATACGCTAAAAGCCTTCTTTACGACATTGGCGTAAGGAGCCTACGAATCAGACCAGGCGTAGAAAAGTCCTAGGCTAAAAAAGTTTAAAATATTAAATTATGTATCGGTACTATATAAATAGTACAAAATTATATCATGTAATTTATGTCAAAAAAGTGTACCCGGGCACTTTATTTTGTCAGGAAATAATGGCTCACTTCAGATTATATTTCCAACGGAAGTCTCTAACCCTTAAAAAATTGTTTATCATTGAGTATATAAAACATAATTTATTATTGTTTGTTTCAATTAGTCTATAATTATCTGTGGGAGTTTTATTTAGAGGTTCTTTAAAATGCTCAGTTTGTAGCAACATTGTGGTGTAGTTTGATAAACAGATTATGCAGGAATATAGGATGATCTGTCACACTTCTAACTCCCAGAGCCGAAATAGAACAAAACTTTATACAACTACCTGTACTCTGCTCAGCGGTGAAAAATGGGCTCCAGTTTCCCACACCAGCCCCATTGACTACTCTAGCCTGTAGGTATAAAGATATGGTTTCTCTATTATATAATATTAATTCCCTAATTATCAACCAACAGAAAGAAAACGTTCTGCGTCCATTTGTCAAGGTTACTTTTAAGCGTAATTCAGAAAGTCATACACCTGAAATTGCTTTGACTCGGCTAGGCCTAAATAAAAATAGCGTTTTAGCTAAGGTTTATAAATACCGTAAAGATGAATTACTTACAATAACTTTATACTTTGCATCTTCTACCACACTTGATATTTTGTAGCCGTGGATCCCTTGGTCTGCTGTAAGCGTTTGGTTCTTCCACTCTTCACTATTTCTTGATCTGTATCTCACATCAAAACCAATTATATTCCCATAAAGATTTCTGCTGAATGACTCAGATGGGTACACAGAAACGGTAAGGAATGAACCATCCTGTGTTGCTGAGACTCCTGGAACTGGAGGTACTGGAAAATCAAACAGTGAAAATTATTGTTATAGAATTTCATTATGAAACCTATATTCTCACATTAAAATAATCATTGTATTTTCTGGAACCATGGATATACCTGTGGCACTTCGTAAAGAATTGTCACATTTTGTTAAAGCATGGAGGTAATGTCGCATTTTGTAACAAACGTTTGCACTTAGCAACCACGGAGCTGTCACAATTAATTTGTAATTTTCAATATATGTGCATGATGATGCCATACTACAACATTTGTCATTATAAAACGTATATTCGCATATTGCAATAATTATTGTGCTTTTTGAAACCACAGAGATAGATTTATATAGGCCTAGAAAATTTGCAGTCATTTGTTACATAACAATTAATACGGTAGACGTGTGGACAGAGGTAAGAAAAAACGCTAACTCTCTTCAGGTGAGAACACTTGTACCACTCTTGCCATCCCAGCAAAATCTTTGTTACTTGCTGATACAGAGATGATGTATTCTGTGTAAGTTTCAAGTTCCATTATTGTATAAAAATCGTCAACGGTTGTTTTCTCAGTGATCATGGACACGTCTGTATTAACAGGTCTATAAGATATTGTATAACGCTCTACACCAGTTGAACACTTGGAATCCGTAACCTAAAAAAAAAAATGTGCATGTCCAAGTATTTTTTATAGAAGATTAAATTTTTTAAGTACAAACAGTTTATATATATATTTATTTATCTTGTAATTGTTAGGACTAAAAAGGACATTTATCAGAATTTTTTCATCAAAATCTACAACAATATTTAAAAAAAAATAAAGAAATAAGGATACCATCGTAGCCTCAAATTTGTGTCAGACAGCTACTGCTGATAAGGTCATCAGACTAAAAATATTAACATGCCATTGTGTTTATACTATTTTTAAAATCTTTTTTTTTATACATTTATACATCTATGCTCTTAGTATTGCAACAACAAAGAGAGTAACGAAGCATACTGTGTTCATAAACTAGAATTAAAGAATATATTTTCTTTCCAAATTTACGATCAACAGGAAGGAATGATTAATCTAGAAAGAAGGAATGAACCATTTACTGTTAGTCGTTGCAAAACAATGTTGATCCTTTTAGGAGACTTGTAACTTGAATTTGCTTCAACTACCGGTGCTGATGGTTCTGAAATAAAACAACACACATTCTAATAATAACATTAAAGACTATTAATTTGCATTAATAGTATAAAACATGTCAGTCTTATCATCATCTTCAGCTTTCCGAACATCATCGATTATGATCATCTATTATTATTATTACCGTCATCATCATTAATCATCACTAAGCCTATAATAAATTATCATCATCATCCTTACCATTAATAATTATCTTCATCAATCATAATCATTATCATAAAACATCATAATAAAATCATCATCACCACCACCATCAACCAACATAAATCATTATCATCACCAACTATCACAGAACATTATCATCATCACTAAATCATCAAGTAAATTATCACCACCCTAAATCATTATTTTCATAAACCGTGACCATAATTCATTACCTTCACCTTCATTATCACCATCACCTTCATCATCATCCTTATCATTTCAACAAAAATCAGAGATCACCTTCATTATTAAAACTATCATCATGTCAGCATGATCAGCAGCGTAAGTCACCATTAAAAATTTATGTATCTTTCATAAAATATAATGAGAAATGTTTACAATAAAATTACATTACTCTCATATAAATTGATTGACAAATTTATAAACTATTTGTCATTACTTACAGTAATACATTTATTGCGCTACCAAGAAAAAAAAGCATCTTAAAAGAAATAGGTTTGCATTTTGTCAAATTAGATTATTCAAAATGTGTTTACCTCCACAAACTGTTGATACAGTTAGCTCATTACTTCCCCTTGGACCTTCACCCCCAGCACCTTCCCTGACCGCTGCAATAGCAAAGTCATATTCTTCTTCCCACCGTAAACCAGTCACTGTGGCTGTAAGACTGTTGTCTTGAGGCATGCGGCTCCAAAGCGCAGATGATGAAGACCGTCTGTAATATAGAACGTATCCAATAACGGGACCATCACCACCATCTCCACTACTGGTACTCCAGTTCCTCCATCTCAATTCCACTGATGATCCAGTAACCGTCAGTGAGCTTGGCTGTCCAGTGTACGTTGGCAATACTAGTTGAAAAAAAAAACGTACAATAAATTTAAATTCATTAATTCAATAAATCATAACAAACCACTGATTTGAAGAAAAAAACAAACCAAAACAACTTACCAAAGATATTAAGTGAGTGATCTGCATATGCTGTATAAGATTCCTTCGCAAGTCTGCAGACATACGTAACAGCAGGATTTGCTTCACCGGTAAATGTAACTTTCGTAACTCCATTTGATTCTGTGCGTACAGTTTCTGTAGCAGGTTGACTGCCAATAAGAAACTGAATGGTAATGCCATCCACATCACCTTGAATGTCACATTGGAATGTGGACATCTGACCTGGATTAACTTTTGTGTTGAAAGATGCAGAGATTCCTACAATGGCAAGAAAGAGGAATAAAAGATATATAGAAATTATGATGAAAATGTATTTCCTCTTGTAAGAATGACTTATTTATTTTTTAATATTTACTATTATTTGAATGTTTTAATTTCTACTTATCTTAACTGAGATGCGTATTCAGTAGCAAGCTATTAATCTTCCATAGGGTACAGTAGGCAGGGACGTAGCCAGGATTTTGAAAGGGGGTGGGGAGCCGAATTACGTATGCCCCCGGCGGGGTCAAGTGGGCGAACCCCCCTGTGAAGTAGCGCACTTTGAACGTTCTTAGGACTGTTTGAGAGGATAAAAGTGAAAATTGCAATAGACACATTATAAATAAGCGAAAAAATAATTATATAATAAATCAACAGTGGCAGATTCAGGAATTCGAAAGAGAGGTGAACCAGGGAGTGACTTTCACAGACTGAGGAACCAGGGGCTGAGGTAAGAAAATTTATGATTAGGGCATCTCTAGATGGCCGGAAATTACACTCTTGCACTTCAATTTGAATATATTTTTCCTTTTTTTTCCTTAAAAAAATGAAGGGGGGGGGGTGCCTTGAATCCACCTCTGCTCAAAACATTTTTTATCCAGAATAGTCATAATCACGAAAAATGGACATGAAAAACCAGATCACATCCTAAAAACAAACAGCAGTCACCAAGACATACATCAGGAGCCGACTCGATGGAGTTTAATGTCATACCTAGGGAAGGGCATGACAGATCTGTTTTGAAAGGTGGAGGGGGAGGGCATTTTGTAAGTCGACACCCACCCCAGCCCCACAATGGTTGGAGCTGAGGTGAGAAAATTTGAGGAAATAGTACCTCTAGATGGCCAGAAATGACACTTTTAGTAAAATTCATCAACATCACATCACCATTAGGCAAAATGAAACGCCAAAAGAAATTCTCATGATCTTTTATCAGGGATTTTTGACAACCATATAGATCTTATTAATGTGTGTGTATACACCATAGAAAACAAAGCTTAAAAACATTGTCTTTGAGAATGTACTTTACATAGGCCTACTTCAAAAACGTGATTTCACAACCTCCTCAGCCCCACCATGGCTGGAGCTGAGGTGGGAAAATTTGAGGAAATAGTACCTCTCGAGATGGCCGGAAATGACACTTTTATATAATAAAATTCATCATCATCACATTACCATTATAGTCAAAATGAAACGCCAACAAATTTATCATGATCTTTTATCAGGAATCTACTTAATATCCAGGACAACTTAGGCCTAATTATAGCTTACTAAGCTTTAACTATATATACTATAGTATAATCAACAAATCACAACTTTTTTTTGCATTTAGCACAATTTTCTTCACTTTTTATTGCTATTAATATTATTATCAATTGTTACTATCGTCATTATCATCATTGTTATTATTATATTACTATTAGTAGTAGTATTATTAAACAAACATGATATTTTATCAGGGATTTTTGACAACAATAGAGATCTTATTCTTATTAATGTGTGTGTGATATACCATAGAAAAAAAACATAGAAAAAAAGCTTAAAAACATTGTCTTTGAGTATGTACTTTACATAGGGCTACTTCAAAAACGTGATTTCACAACCACCTCAGCCCCATCATGGCTGGGGCTGAGGTGAGAACATTTTAGGAAATAGTACCTCTCGAAATGGCCGGAAATGACACTTTTATATAGTAAAATTCATCATCATCACATTACCATTATAGTCAAAATGAAACGCCAACAAATTTCTCATGATCTTTTATCAGGGATCTACTTTTAAAATATCCAGGACAACTTAGGCCTAATTATAGCTTACTAAGCTTTAACTATATATACTATATTACGATCAACAATTAAATCACAACTTTTTTTTTGCATTTAGCACAATTTTCTTCACTTTTTATTGTTATTAATATTAATATCAATTATTACTCTCGTCATCATCATCATTGTTATTATTATTATTATTATTATTATTATTATTATTATTATTATTATTATT